GAGGGCTAAAACTACACTTGCGGAGTCCGTGAATACGGCAATCGGCTTGTTTGAGGGAGTGGTAGCAGCAATAAAAGCAGAGACCGCTTCTGCCGAGAATATAGTGTACTGGTCTGGAAGTCGATGAAGTACGGACATTTGGGGGCCCGTGATGCCGATGACAACCCCTTCACGGGAAACCGATCCATCGGAGTAACGGATAGTGTGGTTGCAGTATATGGTTCTCTGGAGTTCCGCGACGGATCTCACAAGTGCCGTAGAGTTGGATCCTGCCTTGAACTTCTTCTTTATCGCCAAGTCGATAATGGGCCCGGGCAGGTTCCAATCTCTGGTTCCACACCAATGTAAGCTAGACACCGGGGGGAGCTCCAGATTGGCGGTGGCTGAAAGGAGTTGTTTGGCCCCGGTAAGGAGGAAAACTCCTTCATCTGAGCCAGCTGTCTTCTCCTCGAAACTAATTGATCGGTTACAGATGGTCTGAGTAACTAGAAGGTTGAATGGTAGTACTCCACTTTCCACGCAAGCTGCAATTGCAGGCGAGGATGGTAGTAGGCCGGATGAGATACGGATTGCTTGGTGGTATGTAGAGGCTAGTTTCGTAATAAGTTGTTCGCGAGCGAGACAGGTAACTACGATTCCATAAAGGAGACGTGATTCTAAAATTGTTCTAGCAACTCGAAGACGAATGGGCCGGTTACTGTCTGGGTGTCGACCTGCGATGGATCGTAGCAGATTAAGACGTGTCTTGCAGGCTTTCTTGACTTCGTCAAAGTGGGCAGAAAAGGTCAAATATCGGTCAATTCGAACTCCGAGGATACGGGCTGACCTCCTGATGGGAATAGCTGTACCATTGATACAGATGGGAGTGTTAAGGACGGCATGATGGTGAGAGCAGATGTGCACTAGTGTGCATTTTTCGGCTGAGAGTTGGAAGCCAGTAAGTGATGTCCACAGGGAGACTGCCCTTGTGGCAGCGCCCATTTTTCTACGTAGTGCCTTTATGGTTTTGTGAGTGATCAGGAGGATAATGTCGTCAGCGTACACAAAGATGTAAATTTCCTTAGGAAGGTTAACGAAAACTCCATTCATACAAATTAAGAAAAGGGTGACCGCGATAACCGAACCCTGTGGTACGCCAGTCTCCTCTCGGAATGTTGGGGAACGGTGGTTTCCCAGAAGTACCTGAAAGGTGCGGTTTGCCAAGAAATTCTTCACGAAATGCATCAGGTGCCCGCCAAGGCCCCAATCAGCCATTTGTCGGATGACATCTGGCATCCAAGCTCTATTATATGCTTTTGCTATGTCTAAAGCTGCCAGTACGACGTGGTGTCCGCTCGAGGTAGCGTCATCAAGGGCTTGGGCAAGTGTGGCGAAGTACGTGTTTGTACCGTGTCCTGGACGAAAGGTGTGTTGACGGTGGTCAAGTAGGTCCCTGGATTCAAGAAAGTTCATCAGTCGTCTATTTACCATCCTTTCCACGATTTTGGAGGCACAGCTGTGAGGGAGATCGGCCTGAAATCACTAGCTTGTCTGCCTTGCTTTCCTTGCTTGAGGATCGGGACTACGAGACTGTGCTTCCAATCCTGAGGCAGGGAGTTGTGCAGCCACTCCTGGTTGATTAGATCTAGAAGCTTGCGTCTTCCTAATGGTGGTAGATTCCGGAGCAAAGGATAGCCCACCTCGTGCCTAGTGTATTTAGTTGCAGTGCATCATAAACAGCTGCGTTGGAGAGTGCATTCGAGGGTAATGCAGATCTAGCGGGAATTCGTTGTGATCTCCTTAGGGCTGTTGTGGCAAGTATTGGGGTTTTTGTTATCGACTCATCGTGCTTCTTTTCCACGTAATGCTGAGGGGGAAGGGATCTTGCTTCCGTTTTCGACCCTTGTCCGGGGGTCAACAGATTTTCAATAGTGTAAAGTCCCGTTATACGACCCGCCAAAGACAGAGTTGTCGGCTCTTGAGGCCTGGTTTTCGTTTTAGTTAAATATGTCTTCATTCCCACGCTGTCCATAGGGGGATAGGAGCTAGCTCCCTTGTCCGTCCCTCTACCGGTCCTCGCAGGGAGCCGAGGGTTGTCCGCCGGTTCCGGTTCTTGAATGACGTCCGCACCGACGGGGCCACTGCTTCCCCACGATCCAACCGGATAAGTCGATACAAAACGTTTGTTTTGATTTCCAGAGTTTACCAACGAGTGCCGGGGGTTGTCTGCCAGTTCCGGTTCTACATTGACGTCCGCACTGACAGGGCCCCGACTGCCCGAGGCCTTATCTGGTATGGTAGGGGTGTTTGGTCGAGAGACAATGATTGGCGAGCTGGTTGTATGGTCATGGTTTTGACTAGAGTCCTCCTTAGTAGCTTCAGTTTCATCACTGTATCGAATGGGTGACGAGTCCATTGATATGAAAAAGAATGCGGCTTTCTTTGCGCTGGTGTAGGGGAGGACTGGATTGCAGTTGGGTTTATGATTCCATCAGTGGATCCTGACTGCCCCGCATATCATCATCAGACGAGACTGTGAAGTCCATGGATGCTGATGGGGAGTCAGTGATATCTTCGTGGTTTTCTTCTGAGTCTGAGATGGTCGGAGTAGAGTTATTTCCCTTGATTCGTTTGGTTACGAGGTCGATGCTATGCTGTTTTCTGATTGATTTCTTTTTGGCTCCTGTATTCTGAGAGAGTTTTTTGTTTTGTTTTGAGTCCAGTTTTGGCTGATCCGGAGTTGTTTGCGTAGATTCTAGCTGATGCGGTTTTGTTGTTGCTGGGTTTTTCGGTAACTGTTGTTGCTTATCATCTCTGCTTTGTGTTTGTGCGTCAGATGGGGTAGCTGGTTTCTTGGTACTGTTTACGGAGCGAAGCACGAAGATCTCCCTATCTTTTTTCGCGACGGTTTCTTGGAGGTGTTGTACTTGGATAACAAGGTCTTCGATGGTACCATGTTTTCTAGTTAGTTCTAGTCTGTTGCCTTTCCGAAGGGCTGCCTCTAGAGCCTCGATTCGATGATCTTTCCTTTGTAGTTCTATGCAAAGGTCGACGATTGCTTGTCGCAGCTCGTTGATGACGTTAACGTTAATGGTGGTTGAGCCTTCATTCAGTTTTAGCTCCAGGGCCACAATCTTGCGATCTTTCTCAGCGAGTTCACGTGTGACATTGTCGAGTTTGGCGGATAAGTCGACAATCGCTTGGTCCTTGCTAGCGTTAGCCACACCGGCAAAGGACTTATTTCCAGTAGCCGCCACAAACATTTTCCTAGCGGCAGGGTAGGGGATGCCCTTGTCAACCCTAATGTGTTGAATGGCATCTTCCGTTTGGTAAACCGGACAACTTCGACTTGCGATCGCATGGCTATTGGTGTTGCATCTAGGACAGAAGGGAGGGTTCAAGCATCGGAGACCTTCGACGATGGCATGTTGCTGGGAGCATTGTCCACAAGTTTGGGTTGGCTGTTGGCATCTCAATTTGGTATGCCCAAAGCTGAAACAACGGTAACATAACATCGGTGCCGGGTAATAAGGTCGAGTTTTGCATCGGTGATAACCGACATCGATGTATTCCGGGACCCTAGTACTATTTACAGTGAGAATTACTGTAGCTGTATTCACTCGATCGTTTCCGCTGGCTGCTTTCCTCGTGATCCTCCGGATTTGTGAGATGTTTTGTGTTTTCAGGTACTCTAAAACCTCCTCATCTTTTACCTTCACCATATCCTGACAACTAATCACGCATCGAACAGCATTGAGGTTGACATGCTTGGTGATTTTTATTTCCGTGCCATCGAGTAGTTGGGTCATCTCAAGGAGCCGGTCCATTTGCCATTTGGAACGTACTTTGAGTGCGTATGACTTTCCTCTGGCCTCAGAGGAAGCGCCGTCGATTTTTCCTTTGATCCATGACTCGATCGAAGCACGGATTAGGAAGGGATGTTCTGGAAGTTTTTGTGCGTCCGATGCTGCTTCCATCCTGAGAACAACAAGCTCTCCGTGCAGGCCTTGTGGGTCCATGAAAGACGGCAGAGTAGGACCAGCGGGTGATCCATCAATTAGGTTAGAGGGTCCTCCTCCAGGGTCGCCCGGTAGAGGGGGAAAGCCCACATCCAGCGACATGGCTGGTGGGCAAGTAAAGATAGGTGTTTGGTAGTCAGCAGCTCTTCTTGTTGTCACTTTCCAAGCAAATTAACACTCGCGACGAAACAAGGGATCGCACTAGTTAAATACCCGTCTGTTCAAATCAATTTCTACAAATCAGTTCACTACGTACACGCTATTCCCAAAGTTTGCTTGCAAGTTCCTACAGTTTGCTTGCAAGTTTGTTGACGTTTGTGTTATCGAGAAGCAAATGGCTGTTTTGCAGCCACACCGATGCAAGAAGAATCACCACACTTTAGAATCAAATTAGCGTTCACTATATGATCAAATTGAAAGTTTTCCGCGTTGGGCTCACTCCTCGTTTGCCCCTGAATCCGTCGCGACGTACAGTGGGAATTAATAACCGTGCCCTCACTTGTAAATAAGGTAAAAACACTATTCAAGGCAATCCGCGTCTGCAGATTACCGTACTGTCGTTGAGTGTGAACATACTTTTCAATTTTAATGTATGATAATTAACTTTAATCGAGTTCTTTTCTAAAGAGCATTGATAGGTAAGACTTGAATATTTCATTTGGTATGTTGAAATCAGAAATCCACAATAGGATAAAAAAAATTAGCTAACCAAAGTTGGCAATAAAAAAATAACATAAAATGTTGAATAACTCACTTAGCAGTAATTTCCGACCCTATGTTTCATGGGGATTTTTTCATAACTTTAGGAGCCCTATCTACCCTGAAAATATGTAAAACCCGGAACCAAACACCCTGTATAGTGTAAAATACATAACGACTTCAAGTGACGTTCAATAAAGGATTCTTAGTTCAACCTTCAAAGAGAACGGGTCTGTTGTGCGTATTGAATATCACGCCACAAAACTGACCAAAACACGTTATAATAGGCAGTATAACACTCACCGTGTCAGCAGCCGTCAGATTAATTCCAAGACCACCGGCTCTGGTCGAAAGTAAAAAGACGAAAATATCCGCCCGATTTTGGAAATCTGCCACCATGTCTCTTCGTGCAGATATTTTACTTGAACCATCGAGCCTCATATATCGGTGTTTCCTATGCCACATATACTCCTGCAAAGGCGTTGTGATGATTAAATTTTAAAAGGAACTGAAAAGTTATAAGGCTTACCTCCAATAAATCAATCATTTTCGTCATCTGGGAATAAATCAATACCCGATGTCCCTGAGCTTTCAACCTAGTTAGTAACGAATCCAACACAGCTAACTTTCCAGCATCTGACACAAGAGTTTGCTTGTCTGGAATAACAATATTGGACCATCCAAATGTTGAGGGATACGACAGCTTAAGGGCCTTGTCAACCAGTCGAAAACCATCAAGAGATTCACAATGCTCATGTCGGATTGCAGTCCAGGCTGCTTCACGGCTTTCACAACTAGAAGTAAATAGTGTTAGCATTAACTATGCATAAAACATACAAATACCTCACTTACTAATACTTTCTTCCAGAACTAACGACACGTGGGACCAGACTATATAAAAATCGAGGGATTTCTATTGGACAGACCTCCAGTTTATGTTCTGAATGTATGCTATAAATGAATTCAGGCAGCAGTGGTATGTTTGCTACTGGTGCTTTACCTACGGCATGCTTATCTTTGATGGGCATTTCTGTGATTTCGTTAAAATTCATGCTGGTGCTAGCTTTTAGTATTTGCCTTTCACTATCTGACAGTTTCAGTGCCTTCCGGCTTCGCAAAATCCTATGTTCCATGGTTTCTTGCATTGAACATATCTGTTTTTCTGTATGTGTGTAGATGCTGCTCTGACAAGTGGCTGTGAAAATGAGACCGTTCATTGCTTCGTAAAAGGTAGAAAACAGTTTAGTGGCCCATCGTTCGAAGGATGGCTCTAGCAAAATAGAAGTTCCAGCAGGTTGTTTCTCCCACCAGACCCATCGATGATGTAGTAGTTTTAAATATTGAGTCCCCCGTTGCAAGTGCTGGAAACTGCAAGAAAAATAATAACGTTAACTGCAATCATATATCGACTCAAGCTGGGGGTGAAATATTTTTATCCTATATATTGAATAGTTTGGGAAAAATTACAGTAACGCCTCCATATATGTGGTGGGTGATACCGTCCACCCACCGTCTTTCAACCAATTGAGCTGATTTTCTGTATATAACTAGTTTATGGGCATCATCACATACAAAAAATTAGCAGAGGGGTTACTGTACTACACAGTTGGGGGACGGTTCCGACTCTCACGCCAAAGTCACGAGTTCAAATATTATCCCCGGACATGTCACGAATGACCGAAGACTATAATAATAATTTTTTTTTTTTTTTTTTGTATTTATTTAAGACATTTTACATCAATAGATGCATTCATGTCTGGTTCAATTTTGTGTAATGATGTGTGGGTGTGAGTGTTAGTGTTGATGGTTGATTGCACTTAGCTTTGTTTCGTCTCCTTCTGGTTCATCGTTGATCATAACATTGCATCTCTTTTACTTCTTCTTCTCAATGAATTTCACTTTTACTTCTTCTATCTTTTCTTCATCTTCTTTCTTCATCATCTTCGTTTTTGTTCGTAGCCTTCGTCCGTTTCTTGTTATCCGCCATCTTGATATTTTGTTGACGGGTCTCCTTCATCTTGCTGAATTGGCTGCGTCATCTTCTTATATTTTCTTCACTTCTGATCATTTGTTGCTTAATGGTATTCTTCTTCATTCACTATCTTCTTCTTTCATCTCACCATACTTCAAATAATTTTCTTTACTGCTTCATCATCTTCTTTCTTCATCCTTCTTTAATTCCATTGCTTTGATTTCCTTTTCCACGTCTTCACGATTTCTCCGGATTTCCATCGGTGTCGTCTTCTTCATTTTGCTATTCTCCACTTTATCTTCTTGATCTTCTTCGTCTTTTTGCACTTAATTTTGCGTTCCGCCTTTACTTCATCATAATTTTCCTTTTGATCTTCTTCTTCCATCCGATATCCGCTTTGTATTCTTGATGACCTTCACCTTCTTTACTTGATCTTCATCCAGTTATATGTTTGCCTTCATCACATTTTTCATTCCTTCCTTGCTCAGTTAACTGTTTCACCGTTTTGCTTCTACACCAGGTTTCGACTGCTCCATCTTCTTCACATTCTTCCTTTCTTCCTTGCTTCGTTAACTGCTTCACCTTCTTGCCGCTACACTGGGCTTCGGCTGCTCCATCTTCTTCACATTCTTCCTTCCTTGTTTGCTCCGTTATCTGCTTAACCTTCATTGCCACTACACCGGGTTTCGGCTGTTCCTTCTTCTTTTCTCTACATCCTTCAAATTTTTCGGTACAGTCCAGTTTGCCGTAGAAAGTTCAGCAAATTGGTGGTTTGCTCCTCAGAGTTTCCTAGCGCATCTCGCAAGCTTGTTGTGTCAATGTTGTTCTCTTGTCGTTGACTCTCGTAGTTTTTACACTGCAGAATCACGTGTCGCACATCTAAAGCCGTTCCACAACAACTGGGCGGGGCTTCCTTTTTCAATAAGAACGTATGGGTTAGCCGCGTGTGACCAATTCTTAGTCGTGTTAGCACACGCTGGTCGAAAGTGCTTCCCCGTTCCGTCCACTTGTGCGTGTCGTCTTTGACTTCTCTAAGTTTGGAGTCTCTGGTCGCGAACCATTGGTCGTTCCATCGTTGGCGAATGTTTTGCATCACCATTCTCAGCGTATCGTCACCTGGGATTGGTACATCAATGGGAGGTTGTGTTCTCGCCATGTTTGCCGATCAGCTTCGTTGTTTCCATGGATGCCGGCGTGTCCAGGAATCCAGCAGAAACGGATGGATTTGTTTCGAGCTATTTGCTCCACTTCCTGAATCCACGGGTGCTTAGATGTTCCAGCTTCTAAGGCCTGGAGACAGCTTGCAGAGTCCGTAAGAATGACTAATTCGTTCGAAATATTCGGGATGGAGACAGCCATCTTAATGGCGTACGCCTCCGCAGAAAAAACGCTACATTCTTTTGGGAGGCTGTACTTTCCCGCTAAACCATTGTTATGGAATGCGGCACCTACAGTGTGGTCGTGTTTGGATCCATCGGTGTAGACGACAGTTGATCGGTGGAAGTGGGTCGACAGTAGTTGTTGCACTACCGGGCGGACTTTCTCTGGAGGATCGCCGGCTCGTATGCATTTTTTGACGTCCCACAGGATCGAAGGTTTTCGTGTGTGCCACGGACGATCGGTCTGCCGTACGAGTTGACCGACAGCAGGGAGCGCTGAGTTTGTCAGCTCATTGAGGCGATCCGATGCTCGTCGAATAAGAGGGAGACTGGTGTTGTTTCGATTCTTCGCTAGTATCCGAATTGCAATTCGTACTATGGATTGTGCTGCTAGCAGTTCGAATGGTAAGGTGCCCGCTTCAGCCATAATCGATTCTATCGGACTAGTGACGAAGGCTCCGGAAGCAAACCGTACCATTTTATGGTAGGCTGGAGCGAGATTCTGCAGCGTTAGTGGTCCTCCTCGGCTAACTATTCCAATACCGTACATCAGTTTCGCGGTCACTAGGGCCGATCCCACCTGCAGTAGCGATTTTCGATTGCCACGCGGAAGTTTGGCACCGATCATCTGAAGGATTCGTAACCGAGGTTCGCACGCTTTCTTCACCATTTGACAGTGAGGTTTGAAGCTCAGAGTTCGGTCAAGGGTTACACCCAGGACTCTCAAACGGTTTGTCTTCGGGATGGATACTCGGTCTATTACGATTTTACTCTCAGGATCTCGACGTGCATTCGGACTGCAATAAAAGGTGTACGACTTTGAAGCTGATATGCTGAATCCAACGCTTTTCGTCCACTTGTCGACAGCTTTGACGGCGGCCTGCAGTTTACGATGTAAGCCTTCATTTTTAGCCCCTCGTACGATGAGAAGAATATCGTCTGCGTACAAGAGAGTGTCGACTCCTCTCGGTATCACCCGGAAGATGGGCTGCATTGCGACGAGAAACAGCGTCACTGATAGAACGGAACCCTGTGGTACTCCATTTTCCAGCTGGTGTTTGCGAGACATATGCCCTCCTATGGACACCTGGAATGTCCTTTCCGAAAGGAAGCTTTGTAGTATGTTCATCATCCGTCCACGTATTCGCCATGATTTTAGTGTACGCAGAACTCCGTGTCGCCAGGTAGTATCGTATGCTTTCGACAGGTCCAAGGAAGCTATCAGGCAGTGTTCATCTTGGGTTGGCAGCGATCTTTCCAACTCGGCAAAATAGGTATCAGTGCCGCGGCCTGTACGAAAGGCGTGCTGACGTTTGTCAAGACGTCCACTCGACTCTAGCTCGGTGGTCAATCGACGATTGAGAATCCGCTCGAACAGCTTCGCCATGCAACTGGTGAGCGATATTGGACGGAAGGCATCAGGTCCGGAGTCGTTGCAGTGCGGTTTTGGAATGGGTACGACGACAGCATTCCGCCAGCTAACGGGAAACACACCCTCGTTCCAGATTCTATTGAGTAACTCAAGAAGTGTCATTTTCGCGGACAAAGGAAGACGTTGGAGTAACGGATACCCAATGAAGTCAGGACCTGTCGAAGCACCTCGCCCTTTGTCGAGGGCCCACAGGAGTTCGTTAAGGGTGATATCGATGTTGTAGACATCATCGGTTGGTGTCGGTGTTTGATCCATGGATTCTCGTTCGGCTGCTGTTTTAACCATCTGGAAAGATGAAGAGTAGCTAGAGGTTGCTGATCTTCTACTATAGCATTTCGCTAATTCCTCCGCTACTTCTTCGGGCTTGTCCGTGAATCCATCTGCTCGCTTGAGCACTACGGTGCGTTGTTGTCGACTGCCTCGCAGAGTGTTGACCGTTCTCCACAAATCGGTGGTTGAGCTAGTCGGTGAGATTTTCGCTACGAAGTTTTCCCACGATTGCGTTTTGGCCTGGTTGATAGCCTGTCGTGCCGCTGCTCTGGCTTCCTGGAATCTAGTCAGTGCTTCGTGTTGGTCTGGGTCGGAAAGTTGTAGACGTCGCAGGGATCGCAAACATTTCCTTCGCCGTCGAATTGCCACCTTAACTTCGGGGCACCACCATGGTACCGCGTTAGGTCCAACACGACCGCTGGTTCGTGGTATGGACTTAGTCGCTGCGTCGATAATCATTTGGGTGAAACTGTTGATGTTCCACTCAACACCTGATCGAATACTTTCGGCTGTGATGCTTTCGTATAACGACCAGTCGGCTTGTTCGTAGAGCCATTTTCGTCGCGTCGTTCGCGAATACGACCACCCGGGAATGGATACCGTTATCGGAAAGTGGTCGCTGTTGAAAGTGTCCGAAAGGGTTTGCCAAGTAAACCTACGTGCCAGATACTCGGAGCAGAACGTCAGGTCGATTGCCGAAGTGTTACCTGTAGCCGGATCGATGCGAGTAGGGGAGCCGTTGTTGAGAATGACTAGTTGGTTGTCCAGGGTTTTTTCGGCAATGAATCTGCCGAGAGCGGTTGATGTTTGTGACCCCCAAGCGAGATGATGCGCGTTGAAGTCACCCAGAAATATAACCGGACCGTTTAGTTGCTCGAACAACTCATTCAGTGCGGCCTGACTACCCTGGATTGCACTCGGCGGAATATAGATGGATACTACTGTTACCTGCATCGGTGCGTAGATGCGTGCAGCTACGAGCTGTAAAGTGGTATCTAATTGCACGCGCTCGAAAGGTATACCTTCCCGGATAGCAAGGCCTACCCCGTGCTGCCAGTGGTGTACGCTGTTCGACTCTAAGAGGAGCGTGTAGTTCCTTCCAACGAAGTCTGGTTGTAACACATTTTGATTCACCTTGGTCTCCTGAAGCGCTACAATCGAGGGTTCATGGTCGGCGATAAGGAGTTTTAGCTCGTTAATGTTGGCCCGTAGTCCTCGCAGGTTCCATTGCAGGGCGAAACAACCGCCAGGGTGACTATCCACGGATGATAGTGATGACGAACAAGACGATGATGATGATGAACTGTGCACTCGAGTAGAAATTTCGACCGGATTCCAGGAGGAGGTAGA